GGTTATTCAACTAATTAAAAGTCTAAAAAGCCTAAAATTAAAACCAAAATTGTCATTTTTTTTGATTCTTTCTTTTAATCTTAAGTATTGACTAATTGAATTAAAAAGACAATCATGTAAAAGAATAATCGTGTTAATCTAATTCTATAAATGATTGCTGGTAATGGATTTATATTGCTTTCTACAATAACGCCAAATTGATCATATTCTACTTTTAAAAAAAGTCTTTACATTATCTTGCCTCATCTGATTTTAATATTTCATTTATATTTTTCAAAAAATTAAATTATTCTGATGTAATTTGAGGATTTCTATCAGGATGATATTCAAGCATGATTCTCTTATAAGCCTATCTTAATTCACTTTACTCAAATTTTCTTGTAATCTAATAATTTCTCTATCTATAATACTTTATATTGCTCATAATAATTAATTGGTTTTATCTAGGTTAGATAAATGTAAATTTAAAGGATTCCTATCAATATGTATAAAACCTTTTTGACAGATCCTTTAAACTAGCCTAATATGGGACTTAAAAATGCCAAATTGAAAAAAATTACTCCAATTTAATTTAATAGCATAAATAATTTATATGAAATAATATAATACTAAAAGTAAATTAATAGGTTATATTGCTTTTATGAAATATAGAATTTTGAAAACTAGTTTGTTAATAATTTTAGATTCTTTTTATAATTTGAATATTTATAATGTTAATTTTATTGATAATACCTTTTGTTAAAAGCGAATTGATTATTTTTAACAACACTTATATCACAGAAATTAACAATTTGAATTATACTTTAAATCATACAAGTCTTTACTTAATTAAGGTATCAATTAAATTTCTATAGGTAAGTTATAAATTCTTGAATTTCCAAAAGATCAAAGATTCTCTTTATAGTTGGTAGTGGAATGCAAATAGAATGGCACCAATTAAACAGTTATTGATTTAGATGCATTTTATTAAAAATTTGAGGTCTAAAACATATATGTCAAATAAACAACTGAAATAGCTATAAATGTTTTATACTAAAAAATATGTAATTATTTGATAGAAGATATTCGATAATTCAAATACTCTTTATATATAACAGATTAACCATAATAAAAAGTTTAATGTAGGTTCCCTTATTACTCAACAAATTGTTCAGAATAGCTTGTATTAGAATAAATACCTAAGACTAAAATTACAGTGGGCAAAATGACTTGGTTTTATTTTTATTATACGATTGAATAGGATGATGAGTATTAAGTAATTTTATAGATTTCTAAATAGTTATTAATAGAAAATGGTCAATCAGATGTTGGAATATCATTAGTTCCCTTTAATATATCTCATTTTACAAAGCTGCCTTCCTTTAATTCTTACTTCAATTTGATACCTTAAGAATACATCTATCAGGTTAAATTAAAAGGATAAGCAAGCGAATCTAAAGCTGTGATAATAATTGGTTTATATAATTTTAACCAAACTTCAGAGGCTGATATAAACTTATTTTTATAAGAAATCTTTGATACTGATGATAACTTTCCAATTTGGGGAATCATTGCTATTATAGGGGTAGTTGTTTTTTCAATTTTGATTATAATTTGCTTGATAATTTAGTTTAGAAAATAATTAAAAGTGCTTTCTATAGATACACAAGAGATTGTTATAGAAATGTTAGATAAATATATGCCATCTCAAAAGGTTTCAGCTGAAATGCTGAATGACTTTTGTTGTATTTGTCTTTTGAATTATGAATAAAATGATAATGTGAGAGAAACACCTTGCGATCATACGTTTCATGATAAATGCATTATGGAATGGTAAATCATCCTAAAAACTATTTAAGGTTTAGGAAGAATAAAAATTGTCCTTGTTGTAGATTGAAATTTACTGAAGAGGAGTTCTAAAAATTAATGATTTAGAAATAAACAGATGTAACGCCTTAAAATAAAAAAAAATTTAACTCGAACTTTATTTAAAGGGTTTCTAACTTTAATATTATTCATAGAGCATCTTTATAATAAATAAGAAATCTCGAAGATTCAAATTCCTAATTAAATAATTAATTCCAAGAAATTCCATAATAAAATTTTGTTTAACCTTTTAACATAATTGATTAAATTGATTAAAATTGAAACTATAATATTTATAATTTTTTTAAGATTAATAAATATCTATTAATTAATATGAATCTAATTTTTGTAAATAAACATCCCAAAATTTTATCAGCAAAAGAGAACCTTTCCTCTAATAAGATTTAGATTCAATTTTAACTTAGCCTTTTTATTTAATGTTGAATAACAATTTTTCCGTTGATATTTACATGCTTTAAATGTTAATTATTTTGGCAACTACGCATTTTCCTTCATATCGATTGGCAAACTTATTTTTTAAGATTAATATTATTTAAGTTTGTCCTTTTTATTCCGAAATTCTTATTCTTCTTTAGGAATAAGAGTCAGGGTTTTATTGAAGTTCCCCAAGATCTAGAATAATTCCAAGAGAATTCTCATATTCTCTATAAATAATTTTTCAACTCATAATTCTAATTATTCGAGTTTTGCAGCATTCTGTAAGTATAATCCTGAAATGGAAAATGCCTTATTTTTCTATTTTAAATTTCCTAATTATATATATACCATTTTCCTTTTTTAAAGCTTTTTAGCAAGGGCCTTTCACTAATTCTAAAAAGATAAATGGTCTTTCACTTACAAAAAATCTAAACTTTAATATTCTTTGAGTAATTCCTTGCTTATTTATTTTTTCTTAAATATTTAAAAAGCCTAAATAAAGAGGTGTTTTAATTTAATGTTTTAATATTTTAAATGATGATACTTTTTACTTTTTTTTATCAATATTTAAAAATAAATTTTGCACATTATTTAAGATGATCATAATATACATAGTAATTTTCTGATATAATAAAAAATTGATAAACTAAAATATCAATAAAAAATCAATAAACATAATGCTATAGTATTATTATTACCAATTAAAAATTATTTAAATCTACATCAATTTGATAATACGCACCATTTTTAGATAGCAATAATTATTTGTTATATAAGTGGCTATTTAACTTCTATATAGAAACTAGTTTAATTAAAATTAATATTACGAAATGGATTAAATTAATAAAGGAAAAAAGAGAGGTCCATACAAAAAAAGGCTTGATTCTAAAATCATAGATAAGATAAGATTTTTATATAATAATAAAATTAAGTCAGCCGGATAATTAGCAAAATAATTTGGCAGATCTAGAACAACAATCATTTGTCATTCTCGAGCGAAAATCCATTTGTACGACTAATTAAGATATGTGATTTAATAGAGATTACAATCATTGGTTGACAAATGTTTTATTAGTTTAAATCATATTAAGTATAAAAAAATAATAATGCTTCATATCAAAAATTGTATATAAGAAGAGTAATTGTTTTAATATACTGATGCCAATTGTTATAAAAAATTCATACCCAAAACCAGAATCAATTCTTAAAAGAAAAGAATTATCTAACAAGTTGCTGATAATGCTTTAGATTATTTTGTTAAATTGTTAAAGTAAAGGAATCAACATTTGAGAATATATGAATAAGAAATCAATGAAAGCAATCATGAACAAAATTCTGTTTAAAATCCGATTAATCAATATTAAGAAAGTATCATAAATTATGAATAATAATTAAGTCCTTTATCATAGAGTAATTATTTATTGGATAATTTCAAGATAACCTTTTGAATGCCTCTTTTTATTTTTAGAATGACGATGATTTGTGATTATCATTCAAAATCTATTATTTTATGAAAAAAATTTTAAAACAATTATATATTTTTGGTTAAAAAAATATAATGAGTGAAGAAGAGTAATAATAATAATAATCTGGAAGTGGAAGAAAGGAAGAAACAGCAACAAAACACAGAAGAAAGAAAGAGGAGATAGAGAAGGATTTCATATGTGGAGATCCGAATTGTGGAAGAAAGTATGGAACAAATGCTGCATTATATACTCATATAAAAAATAAACATAATGGTGTACCACCTGTAATGGATTTAGATTTTATTTAGATAGAATGGGACAGTAAAACCTTCAACTTCAAAAAAGACAAAGGAATAAACTCCAATAATAGAGTAAGTGGATGATGAATTAAGTAAATCAGTAGCTACAATGAATGATCCTGATTTTATGAAGTTCACAATAATGATTAGTAATTTGGGTCATTTTAATGATAAAAATATAATTGTAAGAGATGCATAAGAGCCTTGTTTTTAATTGGAGGAAGAAAAGTTATTAGATTTGTATGAAAAAGTAATATAAAAATAAAGGATGTTAGATTTTGAAAGGAAGTAGATTGATTTCAGAAACACAAGGAAATTCTGTTTTTACTAAGAAAGCTGAAATGTATTTGAAATTTTCTTCTCCTATTTGGAAAAAGCACATAATAAATGAATTATATACTGTTTTGATATACGCATATATATTTAGAGGAGAGAATTTTGATAGTAAGAAATAATTTTTATGATTAGCTATTGAAAAGGATATAACTAATAATTTAGCTAGCTATAAATTGTTTTCTGAATTGATAAAATAGGATAAGGTGGATTAATTTAGGGAAGTATACACTACAATCTGGAATTTTATCATTTGAATAAAATTGTATAAATATAAAAATTATTATAAAATATCAGTTATGATCTAAAAGAAATAGTAATCAAGACAAGAAGCAAGAGCAAAAGTGGATTCAGGATTGAATAGAGTTAGAAAATAAGATTAGATATAAAAAAGACCAGAATCAGCTGTTTAATCATAATCAGTATTATAATGAAAGTAACAGTTAGGGAGAAAAAGAATTAGAAAGTGAATAAAACTTTACATATTAAACTAATATTTAAGATAAGATGAATACTATAGTTTAAGATTATTTAATAAAGCAAAACTTAATAAAGACTTTAGAGCAGTTTGAGAATGAATCTTAATATAATCATTAGAGAATAGGGAATCAATAAGAATATTAAATGTTATAATATTTTGACAAAGGAGACAGAGATAATTTTTTAAGATTATGGAATTAAAATTTACCATAAAATAACAAATAAGATTATGAATTATGGAAATTAGAGTTTTACATTTAAATCTATTTTCTAATTTATCCAATTCATCCATATTTATCTAAGAAGGGATAAATAGATAAATAATCAATCAATGCATTTAAACAATTCTTAGATTCAAAAGGTATTAAATAAATATTATATCATTTAGGTGAAGATTTATCAAAAACTAATGAAGTATTACCATTTTATGCTTTACCATATGTGTAATAACCTTAAAAACATTAAACATTCTAACATTTATTCACTAATTAATGGGTAGAAGATTTAAAAGAACGTTTAAAAGATTTCACTTCATCAATATTTTAAAATGAATAAATTACACATTTATAAAAATTAGTTTAGCATTATGAGAATTAGCATTAGCAAACATAATAACATAACAATTATTAGTAATAGGATAATTCTAAAGAGATAAAGAGATTGAATGATTAGATTTTGAAATTACAAAATGATAATAATGAAATTAAACAGAAATTAAATTAATAGGTTTAAGCATATTAAGAATTAAATAGTCATGCTGAAAAAAACTTTACTGAGGCATAGTAAAAATGGTTTTCTCTTTGTAAAGAACTTATGGTAGTTTCAAAGGATTTATAAAGGTTTGTAGACAACAATTAATCAATTTAAAATCAACAAAAAATATCAAATTTAAAAAAGAAACTTTTATAATATGAAAAATTTCTTAATCAAGATTTTGAGGACTTAGTTAATAAATCATAAGATATTTCGTTATTTGAAAAGGCTAGTATGGCTGAATAGGAGATATCACATATAACTAATAATTAATGTAATAATTATTATATAATTAAATTAGAATTACCAACTCCAATTAAACCAATTTAAGTTGAAGAATATGTTCCATTGAATTATCCTAAAATAATTTAGTTATTTACAAAATCTAATAATTATTAGCATGTTGCTAATGTATTATAGGCTTTAAGATGGAGAATTACAAGAGCCAAAAATGCTTTGTAAAGAAGATAAGTAGTTGTTGCTTATGCAACTCATGACATAATAGGAACTCATTCCAAAAATATATTGTTAGCTTAATATTTAATTTTAAAATCTCACAATTTAATTTAATGTTAAACTTTAAAATTACTAAATGCATTAGCTTCAGATTATCATGGTAGATCTTATTTAACTTTGAATCCAACATTAATCAAGTTTTTGGTTGATCTTATAAAAAAAGAGTAATCTGATAGTCTTATAAGGAAGAATGCTATTGGGGCTCTTTAAAAAATGTCATTAAGAAAATAAAGTTAAACATTTATGCTTGATAACAACATAATTTATCATACATTAATAATATTAAAGAATGTAAAATTGAATATTATTTTAGGAATAAAATAATCTAAGTGAATATACTTATGAATATATTACTGCACTTATTATGAATCTATCTTTAAGTACTAGAGGAAAAGATGAGTTAATTCAGCATAAAGAATTAGCATTTGATGTGTTATATGATCTTATTGAATATCCAAATGATTAAATAAGGACTTTCACTAATGGAACATTTTATTCATTGTTTAGTAGAAAAACAATTAGAGATTATGCTTATAGTCTAGGAATACCATAAGAATTACCTAGACTATTAGAAAATTCTGATGAAAAATTCAAAAAATAGATTCAATATATGATTGCTTAATTATAAGCTGATGAAGATGATTATGATTAATCATAAATGGAAGAAGAAAATGATGTTGATGATATTGAAGATGAAGAAGAAGAATGTATTGGAGATGATGATGAGGAAGATGATCTTAATAATTAAGATAATATAATAGGAGAAGAATTATTATAAAAAGATTTTGAATTACTTGGAGATGAAGCTGAAAATCAAAAATTAGTTATGGATTCTATCATTTTAAAAGAAGTCTAATAAAGAAATGCATAATAAGAATAAATTAGAGAATCTTAATTAGAGAGAATGCCTGTTGGATGTAATTATTAATTATTATATTTTTAGAAATTCCCTTCTATAATGATACTAATGATAAAAAATATAATTAAAAATTGTAATAGCATCATAATTAATAAAAACAATTAATCTAAGGATAAGGATAATAAAATATTAATCACAATGATCTATAAGAATTTGCTTCTAAACCCAAAATTCCTAGAACCCCACCTGGAGCTTCCAAAAAATGATGATCATTTAATACATTTATAGAATAATTGCTTCTTATTTATTTTAAAGCATTTTATTAGATTTGTTTATAATTTATTTTTAATTTATAATATAAAGTAAATAATCAATTCATTTTAAACCAAATATTTCTATCATCTCAATATTCCAATTTGTTGCTTTTCCTGCTAAAATACTTTCATTATCTAATTCTGAATATATATCATAAGATGACCCTAGATTAGATGAACAATTTTTCAAATTCTCAAAATCTATTAACATATCCTTACAATCTTTTCCAAATCCAATCTTTGAATGATTTAAGAATAACGAATATCTTATGCATTCTTCCTTTGGATAAAATTTCATAGGCTTAAATTTATTATAAATTATACTGGTATTCGATATACGTTTTCTATTGAGAAAATATAACAATCTTTACAATAATTATAACCACTAGTTGGCTAATCTACATTATAATAAAAACCAAATTTGCATTAATTTGTTGTGTAGATAAATCCTAAAACTTTATTTTATTTGAGCATTTAATATTTCTAACCTAATCTATAAATTAAACTTGCTTCATCTAATGATGGTAAAAAAGATATAAACATATTACTTTCATTCATCTTCTCTTAATACTCTTTTTAGTTTTCCTTATTATCATTATTATTATTTATTTTTTTCATATTATTACTTTACAAACTTACATTCTATATTGTTTTCCTTACAATTCTCTTTCCAAAATTCTTTATTTCTTCTGTTAAAATTTTAATATTTCCAAAATCCATTATCTTATCATCTTCATACTATTCCAATTATGAAAATGGCAATTATTTCAACTTATTGTAATCACTATTTTTCTTCATTACATTTAATCTTGATTCACAATCCTAATAAAAATCCAATTTTTTTTATAAAATCTCTGTTAGATTTATTTATAGAGAATTCTATTTCTCTTATAATAAATTAATCAATTCCCCTATCTAATGTTCTATAAATTGCTTCATATAAATTTATTAATTATGGATAAATGAAATGCTCCTCTAACAAACTTTTATTAAATCATCTACTTTTTTTTTGCTTTATTACTAATTTTATCCTTATAACTTTTTATTACAAGTTTAGCAAGCTTCAAAAGTACCTTTTTTACAATTTTCATCACATCTTGATGATTTACATTCAATATCCCTATTAACTGCCTTTTAATTTATACAAACTGTGCATAAATTATCCATTTAATATTTTATATAAATAATTATTAATATTAATTTCTAAACTATGTTATGCATTATTATTTATAAGAATATTGAAAGATTATTACTTAATCATATTTATTACAGACATTATTTTTGCGATAAATATTTTAAGATATTTAATCTTTATGGTTTCATTATTTCTATTGTCGCATAATACTGATTTATTAAAACTGAATTCATAGACAACTTGTATTTTTTATAAATATTATGGACATCCCTTTATCATATTATTTTTAGTTAATTTTAATAATTATAGATAAAATTTTTTTATAAATAAAATTTTATAAACAAGACACAATAATATGTATAGTTAAAATTGAAATAGCTACTTATTTAATGATATTTTTTTAAAAGTATGGTTTTTTTAATTTATATAAGTATAAATATTAAATAAAAGTTATTTTTTAGGAGATAATTATTTTTTATACAAAAATTGTTAACATGTAGAAAAATATCGAAAATATTTAACTACATTTCAGATAATAAAGAATAATCAATTTTATTTTTATAGAAGAAATGATCTAGTAAAAGTTAATAATTAAATAAGCAGGTTCACACCAAGATATAAAAAAATATATTTTACTAAATTTCTATTATGATATATAAATTTAAAGAATAGTTTTTTGTTAATTTATATTTTTTATAAATATGGAACAGTTGTATAATTAATTTGAATAGAGTAGAATTATTACTAGCTCAATTTAATATGAGGCTTAGAATAAATTATAAAGATTTTAGATGAAAAATTTCGGAATCTAAATATGATTTAATTTATGTGTTGATATAAAGTGTTATTTTGACAAAATTAAGGAGAAAGTAACATAAAATAAATAAACTAAATAAAATATATCTTTAAATGTCGAACTAAAATGACCAACATTCAAACATAGAAGAACATATTCTTAGATTATATGAGATCCATGATTTTAAAGGGAAAGGAGCCTACGGGATTGTTTGGAAAGCTACTGATAAATAAACAAAAAAAGAAGTAGCACTGAAAAAGGTTGTAACAATGATATTTAGATTTTAGGTGTTTGATGCATTTTAAAACTCAACAGATGCTTAGAGAACATTTAGGGAAGTGTGTTTTTTATAATAATTAACGGATCATGAAAATATAGTTAAATTATTAAAAGTGATACCAGCAGAAAACTAAAAGGATTTATATATGGTTTTTGAATATATGGAGACTGATTTACATAAAGTGATTAGAGCAGGATTATTAAAACCCTTACATATGCAATATATAATATATTAGTTGTTAAAATGCTTGAAATTTATTCATTCAGGAGAGTTGATTCATAGAGATTTAAAACCTTCAAATTTATTGATAGATTCTGATTGTAAAGTGAAAGTAGCAGATTTTGGATTAGCAAGAAGTGTAGCATAATCAGAAAATTATAATGGTAATTATTATTATAAATATAAAATAAGAATTACCAATAATGACAGAATATGTAGCAACAAGATGGTATAGAGCACCTGAAATTTTATTAGGATCTCATTCTTATACTAAATCTGTTGATATGTGGAGTGTTGGATGTATACTAGGAGAAATGATAATAGGAAAAGCTATATTTTCAGGAACATCTACTTTAAATTAAATTGAAAAGATAATTGAATTGATTGGAAGACCAAAATAAGAGGATTTGGAATAAATGAATGCATAATTAGCATAATAAGTTCTAGATGGTATATCAATGTAGAAAAGAAAGAGTTTTGCTGGATTCTTTCCTAATGCAACTCCTGATTTTATAGATTTTATTAGAAAATGTCTTGATTGGAATCCATTAAAAAGAATTAATATTGAAGAAGCATTAAAACACTAAATAATGCTTGAATTTGCAAATACTGAAGAAGAAAAAACTTTAAAATAATATATTAAAATTCCTTTTAATGAAAATAAAAAGCTAACTATCAAAGATTATAGAGATAAAATTACTCTCAATACTGAGTAAATTCTCTAAGAAATTTAATAAAATATTTTTGATAAAAATCAAAATAAATAATATATATCAACTCCTTAAAGCTTTTCAACATATATATCTCATTATGATAATAAAAATAAGTAAAACCTATCAACTCATCAATTCTCTTAACCTGTAGAAAAGCCAAAGAAAATTGATTAATCTACTAAATAAGACCGGTTTAATGATAAAAACAATGTATAATATATTTAAAAGAAATCAAATCATTCTCCTTAACCTAAATAAACTATGCCATCAAATCCTTAAAATATTACTTATAGCTTATTATAACAAAAATTATCATCAAATTAAAATCAAACTTAAATTAATAATTCAAGTCTAAAAAAAACTCATACAAATATTATTAATAGACCATATTTTGAAGTGAATAAGAGTCCTGAAGTAAAAAAGAAAACAGAAAATAGTATAATTAATGTCACAAAATCTTATTCTTTTCATGGAGAACCTTATGATAAAAAAGTTAATAATTCAAGTTTCATTAACTAAAATAAATCAAATACATTTAATAGTTATGCAAGACCCACACAAGTATAATAGTCATCTAACTACACTACTGCTTAAAGCTTTTCTTTATAAAAAGAGCAGCTTAAACCAAAAGATCCAATTTTCATCAATTAAGCTTAAAGAAGTAAATCTTTTGAAAAATCACCAATTAATATTATTAATCCAACAAGTCCTTATCAAAGATAAAAAACAGAGGCTTCTAAACCAAAATTTATTCCTTAAAGTATTTTTTATATTTTATTATTAAGGCAACATGACTAACAATATAGCTTAAGTCCAAAAACTTTTATAAAAATGTTGTTAAGTATAAAATTATTCATCACATAAAAAAACAACTAGTTTTATAGAACCATCAAAATTATAAACTTAATAAACTATAAATTATAACTATTTTGATGCTAAAAACACAAAATTTATTTGATTACTATTTTTATGATCAAATTTGTTACTATATTTTTGAAATTTGAATTGTATTTAATATTATTTAATTTATTAAGTGATATTTTTTTAAGAAAAACTATATCAATAAGGGTTTCTTAATAAAGGAAATATCTATTATAAATACAAATTTCCAAATTAATTATAATAAGATTGGTTTTAAACTGAAATCTTATTAATTAAATATTGAGAAAAATCAAAAACAATCAAATTAACATAATTTATAAAATATAATTAAATCGTCTATTATTTCTTCACTAATTGGTTTTAGGTAAATCAACATTTAATTCTTAAATTAATAAATTAGTTTTATAATTAATTTTTCTATCTTCAATGATTTTAACGAATTATGTGATATAAAATTTGTTCATATAAATTATTTTAATTTTTATAGGTGGTAACTTAAATATTTAGTTCTATTTTTAATTTAACCGATAAATACCACTTATTAAGGGTAAAATCAAGTAAAGTCAGTTAAAAAATTGAAATAGAATGATTTATGTCTATTTTTGAGTGAAATATCGAAAAATCTAAATTTTTTTAATTAATGAATATTTAATAAGTCATTAACTTAGCAATTTTTCTATTTATGGCATCATTTCATTTGGCTTTTGAGTTGGCTGAAAAAAAGCAACGACATTTCCTTGACCATCAAGCAAAAACTTTCCAAAATTCCAAGGTACTTATCGAGCTTAGGATTCATTAACTCTTAAGTTATTCGAATTTAATCTCAAATATTAATATAATTCATGAGTATTTGGTCCATTTACTTCAATTTTTCTAAATATGCTGCAATATATTACTAAAATAATGGGAATGAAACTCCGTATTTTTAGATTACATATTCTTTAATTTCGGGTTCAGGTTTAGATTCTTAATTCATGAATTAATTACAAGGAAAACCTAAAATTTCTAATCCTTGTGAACTTTTAATAATAATGCAGTACATACCTATATTTTTTGTATAATTCTACTAATTCACTGTAATTACTAGATGTTAAACCACATGAACATGCAACATTGACACAAATATAAGCTTTTTTACCTTTGAATTTTGATAAAGAAGTATCCACTCCATCAATGTCCTTCATTTGAAATTCAAAAAACTATTTTTTTGGAGGTTGTAAGTTGTCTACAGCATTCTTAAAAAATAAGCAGCCCATTAAAAATAAAAATAATACTTTGTTTTTATTTTTTAACACATTAAGAATATTCTTCATTTGATTCAATAATATACACAAAAAGAGTTTATAATTAATCTATTACAATTCCTTTTCACAAATGTCTTAAAGAAAATAATTAATATAATAAATTAATATCCAAAGATAATGTACCCTATTTATAATTATTGCTAATAAAATTAGAACAATAATTTTAACAAATTTACTTGTTCTAGATACATAATCTCACTTATTGGATCTGTTTTAATCATTCTAGTTTCAACTTTTTACTGCTTTAAAACATATAGAAATGCAAATAAGTTTGTTTATGAATTAATACCCATGATGCTTTGTATATTTTAAGGATTGATTCACTTAATTTAGTTTTCGATAATAAATGAAAATCACTTAACTTTATTAGGAAACTTAATTTAAATAATAACTTTTTCACTTGTAGGATACACATTTTCTCTAGTGTTTAAGAAATTATCTGCAGATGAGAGTATTATATAAAATTAATTCGATAGTTAAATTTAATATTTTTAAAAGAAAGAAGCTCACAAGTAAGGAAATATTATACTTAATTATCTTTACATTATAGTTAATTTGTCTTTGCTTAACAAAAACCAGTGTTTGCAATATGTAAAAGTTGGATTCTAAATAGCTATTTCTATATTGTGATAATATTGACCATAATGGATATATTGATAACTATGTCTATAATAATTTATTATGGTCGAAAGTTAAAGAAAGTTTTAGTTTATGTAAAACAAAGATTCTCTTCAAATAAAAATGAAAGCCACTAGTACAGTATTTAAAGTCCTTTTTTTGAAGCAGATCTACCAAACGAAAAGATTCATTAAATTTAGGTGGTAGTGTATTCAATAACAATTAATACAATATTGTACATAATTATAATTTTAATACTTTTTTGGAGTGACTAAAATCTATTATGTAATTTTGAGGAAGATGACAAATTAGATGTGAAAAATAATATAATGATCTTTATATTTACAGCCACATAATTATTTCCATGCTTTATGGTTCCATACGCATTTAACTATAGAGTAAAAGAAAATCCAATTAAGTAATCTAATTTATTATTATAAGTGATGATGGATTAGAATTCACAAGAGAACGGGCTGCATCATCCAAATTTTAGATGGATGAAAGTAATGACATTTTTGTACAAAGATTGACAAGAGGTCGAACAAAATAAGATGATGAATGAATTGAAATTATAAAATAATATCGTAATTTAAACATCATATTGAATAAACAGTTACTGTCATATTTATTAAATAAATAATACTTTTAATTTAAATTTAAAAATTCAGGTAAGAGGATAGATAGCCAACAAAGCAATTGAAATCAACTAATCAATGAATCTAATTTTAATACCAGATTAATTATTATTTTGTTTGATTAGTTTTATCTGATGAACATATTATTTTTAAATTACTTAAAAAATAAAATATAAACCAAAAACAATCAGTATTTATAAAAATGAAGCTAAAAGAAATCAAAATCATTATAATTTTCTATTAACTTAGGAATTGATTAGAAATAATTAATAATCAAATCAATTTAATTAATCCAAAATTAATGTCTAATTAATTAAAAATCTTTAGAAGCTATTAAACATAAACTTAAAATTAATATTCTTAGATATTTCAGTAAACTACCTATTTGTAGTTTTTACTTAAAATAAATTATTTAAACAACCTTAAATTTATAATTTCAATTTTTTTAGTAATTCCCTTTTAAATTGAATCAATTTTTAGGATATTTTCAATTTTTCTTAAATGAAAAAAGAATTCTGCATAAAAATACATAAACCCCATAATTTCAATTCCAAAATGATTGAAAAATAACTATTTATAGCCTAATTTGTTTGTATATTTTTATAAATTTAACAATCTAATTTCTATAATTCAGCTTCACAATTAACTTAAATACAAAATATATTTAAGTGAAAGATTTTAAATTACAATTATTCATTAATGACTATAAATGATTTATCTTAAGATCAAAAAACTAAATTTTTTTGAATGAAATAGCAAATTGATAAGATCATTTTTGATATTATTTCTTATTTTAAGTTTTAATCTTCTTTATTGAAATATATAGATTCATTTAGACTAAAAGAATTTTAACTTCTTCAATTATTATAAAAGTATTGCATATAGAATTAACAATTAATTTACAAATCAATATAAATTAATTAATTTGAGAATAAATAATGGACTGTGTAAAATTTATGAATGTTATTTGTGTATTTGCCATTCCTTTTTTTGTAATTCTAAATTAATAATACTTATTAGATATCCCTTTACTTGATAATTGAATTTTAGCCAGACTTTTACAAATACCCCAAATCAAATCCTTAAAAACTAAAAGAAGCAATAATTGTGGCCTTTATCGTAATAATAAAATTTTATTGAAGTTACATGTGGTATTAAGCATTATTTTAACACTTTGGCATCAAAGAAGAATAAAAGCAAAAAAGAAAATGCAAAATGTTGGAGATAATTATTATTAAATTCAAGGCAATATTCAAGGATAGCCAGATTCAGATTGATTTTATATATACATACAGAAATGTTCAATCAATTTTTATAAACTCAATTTTTTTTTATTCATCTTCTTCTATTATTATAACTTTAGTCTTTTTTGTTTCTATCTAATGTTATTAATATGAAGACCAAGACAATTTTTAAACTTCATTCTTTTTTTATGTGAATTTCTATTCTTCTTTTATATATGCAATTCTGTCATCCACTAAAATTGGTTTAGTCGCTTCTGGTTCCCAATGCAATTTAATATTAAAGGTAGTGATTGTATTTTTTCTTAATATCTTTAATAGCATCTTTATTTACTTACTATTTGGTATCAAATATCCCAGTTAAAATGGGCTTACTATTTACAAAACTTTCAATAATTTTTCTCATACTTTTCAATTTCAATCCTTTTGTTCTGAAAATGGCTAAATTATTTTAGTACTTTTCATCATATCTGCATAGTTAGTGTTTTAATTATAAGGATTCTTTAATTTCTTCCTAAAATATAAGAAATAATTTAAATTAATACTTATATACATCTTGCTGTGATTCAAATAGATGAATATAATACATTTTTCTTGAAACATTTGAATATACGTATAAATCTATCGTGATTCCTTTTTAATCTATTGGTATAAGAGATTGAATATAATTTTATTCTGGTTTATCTAACTCAATCTCCTCGTAAAATTTCCTCCAAATAATTTGGTTTAATTGCAAATTCATAAGTTAATTTATTATTAATGTGATTGGATTTTTATAACAGCTAATTTATGATTTGTGATCATCTTATGCAATAATACACAATCAAATATAAAATATACCTAATTAAGAATAATTGTATAATATTGAGAAATCAATTGAATTATCCATTGTCACTTTGAAAGTAACTTATAGATGCTTTTGATTTCAATCTATTGAAAACTACATCAGAATTTTGATATTTATATTTTTCGATTGTGAGAAAAAAAAAGTAATAAAATTTATAAATAGTCACTGGAATATAAAATATAAATAAATCACATCAAGACAAAATTTGAATCTAAGAATGTATCATTCCTCTGAAAAATGAAGGAATCATCATCATAATTTAAAAGCCAAGTTGGCAATAAATTTTCGAGTTTTGAAGATTATTCATCAATATAAATATCTTCCTATATCTTAGGTTGATCAATAGTTGAAGATTATTCAGAAGCTTCTTATGTAATTTCTAATTCAACAATACCAGCACTTTTTTAATACATTTTCTTATCGTAATAAGAAAAAGCATCATCAAGAACAAATTAAATTATTCTCTTTTTCTAAGAGAATATCTTCGTTTCTGGAATCAATTTTTTTAACGGATTTTTTTCAGAAAATTCAAAATATTGTTAATTTTTGATGAAAAATTTAATATCTTTTAATACGGCCTGCTTTGATAAATTCTCATAGCTATGAAAACGAATATTGATTAATTCATGAATAAGATGTGTTATTGCATTTTTGAATTAATCATATATGTGTTCTTTAGCTTTTTTGAATGAAGTTATCGTTTATCTAGCAATACCGTATTTCTTAGATAATTCATTAATATTATTATATAAATCTAATTCCATTAATATTTAAGCTTTTAACTCTTAGCTTATTTTATTATAAGAGCCTCTTATTGATTTCTTTTAAATACTTTTATTAGAAATACTCATTTTAATTTAATTATTTTGGGGATAATTTTTTAATTAATATATGATAACTTTTTTTCATAAATATATTTTATCAAATTTTTTTTTTGAATTCTATTAAATCTCATTAATAAAAATAATGAAAATTTTTATTTTATCAAAGAGTTTCTCAAACTTATCAATATGAATTTTAGAGCTAAGTTTACGTTCTTTTATCTCTCATATAACATATTTTTAAGTCTATTTAAACTCTAATTTGTCAAAGTCTATTTAATTGTTGGAATCATCTGATTCTAAAATGAATGCCTTTTACGTAAAAATCATCTTTCTAAATAAATCAATGATTAGGACATTTAAGATAATAAAAAAATACTTATCAATAAGCGTTTTAGAGTATAGAAACAGTTAATGCTGTTCATGTTTTGTATTTAAATTATTTTCTTTTATAATACATTTTATGTTATTCAAAAAAACTCGGGATATTATTTTTAGAAACGTTTATC